ATGACCTCCCCCCAAAGGGGGGGGGGGGAGGGGTTAATACTGCACTTTTAAAAGCAATCTAGAGGTTTCCTTTGTTACAATCTCAGTCCCCATTAACACCTTCACATTACTTGCTAATGGCACCCCAAACATGTAGGGGAAAAAAGCGGAATGCTCGCAGCTGAAAATGCAACATGAGCTACTTTACCACGTTTGTCGCGTGTGAGGCACCTATTGAAATCAATGCATGCCGCACGACAAACGCAGGGAAAAAAATGCACGCAAATGTGCACGAACACACATTCACACTACTCGAAGCGTGAACGGGGCCTGAGAAAAGCTGTCAGTGACCGCGGTGTTCAGGATGAAACACTGCGCATGCTCAGTGCAGGACGTTTACAGTCTTTCGTGGAACCTTGCATTGCGGTGTACGTTGCTGGGGGAATGCCTTTAGTGATGCACAGCTTCTAGTGTGTTTTTGAAAGGTGTCCGTGCTCAGTGTAATTGTGTATTGGAGGTAAGTGAGCCAGTGTACGGGTACAGGTGGCGTTATATGTTCAGGATTATCCTTTGGTGGTTGTAGAAGACCGAGGCATGCTGGGAGTGGTAGTCCTCTGGAGCTTAAAGTGTTAAACCCAAATCATACAAACTAGCATTACACAGCCACACTTCCATCAAAGCTGCTTTTATAATCCATGGTGTTTGAATTCGCTCTTATTCAACACAGATTGTTTTTTATTTCTATTCCTAATAGCACTTCCCCTGTGGCTCCTATTATTAGTGTTGTGCCTATGGAGTCATCGCTGCATGCACGCTATCCCTGAAGAATCCTATGCTGCGTCCAGCTACTCTGTGCTATCGATGTGCACATGCAACAAAGGGTGGCTGGATCTGAATGGGCCCTGCGGTCTGCCCTCCTGGTACTGATTGACAGAGACCAGCAGAATGAACCGCACGTGCATGCGCATTTTAAGGCGAGCACAAGTACTCATGAGACATGCTGTCTGAAGAGTTTGTGTAAGTGCTTCCTGACTGGAAGGTGCGGTGGCAGCTGGTTCACAGTGCAGGGGGTGATATAAAGCTGAACTCTAAGTGCAAATACTTTAATTTAAATATATTCCTTAATCACCACAAAGGGTTAAAATATACTTTGTGTGCACCCACCCAGTCCCAGCTATTTTGCCACCTTAGGCTGGCGGTGGGAGGTTGCTGGTGGTGCACATTCTGGGGGTAGGGGGAAAGGTGCTGGTGGTGCATGCTAAGGGGGCTCCAGCTGGCGCTGGCCAGAGCATCCCAGGTTGCCATGAGTCGGGTGGGGAGATGCGTATGGCCCTTAAGGTGCCCATACACTGCACGATTCTCGTACGAGAATCGCGGGAAATCCCACGATCGTACGAGAATCGTGCAGTGTATGGAAGGCGTGCAACCGTTTCTACTGTACGGTCGCACGTCTTCCGTCGAACCAGCAGGCTAGAAAACCCCCCGGGAATCGTACGATTCTCGGCGAATTAGTGGCCTGCTGGTTCGACAACTGCCGAACGGGCCGATGTGCGCACACAGCCCGTTTGCAGTCATCGTAAGCCCGCCCCTCATTGCAGTCATCGTAAGCCCGCCCCTCAGGGGGGCGGGCTTGCGATGATCACAAGTACGATATGCCTGTCCAAGATGGGCAGATCGTACGTTTTTTTAAGTACTTTACAACCCTCGCAAGACAAAAGTCTTGCAAGGGTTGTAAAGTGTATGGCCACCTTTACACATCTCCCCACCCGGCTGTTAGCAATCTGGGATGCTCTGGCTGGAAAGGGGGCATCAGGAACACTAAAGAATCCTATGCTGGAACAGGAACACTGCAAACATTGTTCAGCAAAGCGGCCATCCCACCCCCCATTTTACCAAAAGAGATGCCGCCTGAGGCAACAGCAAACCCAGATATTACATTTTAACAGTAGCAGTGAAATCACTGTGCTGTACATGGCCTGAACAGATTTGTGGGAGGGACCCAGCAGGCCCCAACCACTATAGGCTGCCTGGACAAAACTACAGTAGGGGATGGAGACAATACCTCTGCAAAAGGAGAGAGAGCAGCAGTGATCTGTCTTTATTAGAGGAAGCTCCTTCTTAGAGACAAAGTTCCAAAATGGATTACTGCACAGATCTGGGAGAAATACACAGAGTTCACCAAGGTTCAAGAAAGAGTGTATGACATTTATGAACATACCAAATGAATATACATGGAAACATTGTTTGGCAATCGATTGTTTAATGCTACTTTACTGAGGGCAGTACGAAGTGCTGGAGATTTGAGCCTGGAAACTTCCCTGATAAAGGCTCTCCATCAGAAAACTAAATGGGAGGGTGACAACACAGAAGCACAATTGGGAGATAGGGACAGACCCTTATCCAGCATTCCAGATGCTGTATTTAGAAGCCTGTTCCTCAGTGTTTGATTTCTTTTATGGCTAAATGTCAGTGAATTGGATTGCAGGAGGAGAGGGGTAGATCTAAATCCAATCACTAAAAACTCATGTCAGATTCAACATGCTCATTTTAATGCTTTTAAATACAATACTGTAGTACCTGGTATTCCTGCTATGTTCATGTTTTTCTTCATGTTTTTAGGGTGACATGGGTCTTTCTCTGTTTCCCAGTTGTGCTGCTGTGTTGTCAGCCTGTCATTTAATTTTGTATGCAGACTACAAGTGGACATTAAACATACATTATCTAATAAAGGCATTAAGAAATGCCTTGCAGACATTGCTGAACCGCATACATGCAAACAGGAACTGAGAAGCAACAAAGGATCAAATAATAGAGGAAAATAGCAAGTTATGTAAACAAAAAGACAAATGTCTTCTGATACACGGCGCTTTATCAATCATTCATTTAGGGTTTACATCTACTTTATCAGTAAAACAGTGAATGGAACTAAACATTATGATTCTTGTATGTTGCAGGTTTTCCAGTCAGATTGCCAGGAAATCTTTTGAGGCACCATGCCCACAGTGGTGGTGATGGATGTGTCTCTCTCCATGACCAGGCCTGTTCTGGTGGAGGGGACAGAAGAGTTCCAGCGCAAGCACCTGGCAGCACATGGACTCACCATGCTCTTTGAACACATGGCCACCAATTACAAACTGGAGTTTACAGCCTTGGTTGTTTTCTCATCTTTGTGGGAACTGATGGTTCCTTTCACCAGGGATTACAACACGCTTCAGGTATACCAGGCAGACAAAGCAGGGAGCTGGGGTAAAGATATTCAGTCATGGCCAAAAATATTGGCACCCCGGCATTTCTGTCCAATAATGTACCACTTTGCGCAGAAAATTGTTGCAATTACAAATGTTTAGGCATTCTCATGTTTGTTTTGTTTGTATTGGTATGACACAAAAAAGTTGAGAACAAAAAAAAAGCCAAATCTGACACATTCCACAGACAACTCCAAAAATGGACTGGACAAAATTATTGGCACCCTCCAATTAATATTTGGTAGCACAGCCCCTGGAAAAAAATAACTGAAATCAATCATTTCCTGTAACCATCAATGAGTTTCTTACACCTCTCTACAGGAATTTTGGACCCCTCTTCTTTCACCAACTGCTCCAGGTCTCTGATTAGAAGGGTTCCTTTTCCCACATGCTTTTTTGAGATCTCTCCACAGGTGCTCTATGGGATTCAGATCTGGATTCATTACTGGCCAGTCCAGTACTCTCTAGCGCTTCGTCTGAAACCATTTCTGGGTGCTTTTTGACATGTGCTTTGGGTCATTGCCCTGCTGTAAGACCCATCACCTCTGACAGAGAGCCAACTTTCTGACACTGGACCCTACATTGCAGCCCAGAATTCTTTGGTAGTCTTCAGATTTCATAATGCCATGCACATAGTCAAGTCATCCAGTGCCGGAAGCAGCAAAGCAACCCCAAAACATCAGTGAACCTCCACCATGTTTGAATGTAGGGACTGTATTTGTTTCTTTAAAGGGCTCATTTTCTTTTTCTGAAAACAGAAGAATGATGAGCTGCACCAAAAAGTTGTAATTTTGCTTTGTCAAAAAGCTGTTAATTTTGTGTCATACCAATACAAACAAAATAAATAAACACGAGAATGTCTAAACATTTGTAATTGCAACAGTTTTCTGCACAAAGTGGTGCATTATCTGACAGAAGTGCAGGGATGCCAATATTTTTGTATATTACTATGCATGTTTTTATCTATCTATATATCTATCTATCTATCTATATATCTATCTATCTATCTATGTGTGATGTTATTATAAGGAAAGCCAATGGACTGTCAGGGCAAATGTGTTCAGATTGACAGGACACTGTATAAACTATATATCTGCATGAATATATAATTGTGTCTGTGATCCTCCAGTATTGTCTTGCAAAGAATTGGTTGTTGAAGTGGAACTCTAGACAATTTATTTTTAGGTTTAACCACCATCATGTTTAACCACCATCATGTTTAACCACCATCATGTTTTCCCTATTAAAATTTTTCCATCTCCATACTTTCCTCTTGCTTGTCTTGATGACACAACAGGAAGTAGGAAAATCTCTTCAGTGGGGACATAGCTCATACACCTAAATGACAGTTTAACCTATCCCTGCTTTGCTAATGTAAGTTTCTTTATTGCTGTCTCTTCCTGTGGAAGAGGTTATACTCCCTTCCTGTCTTGTAACCCAACAGGAAATTGAAAAAAGTATATCCCCCCCAATAGGGACATTATCACTAACCCCTTTGATCCTCTTAAAAAAAATAATTAAACCACTAAATTGCTCAAACAAATAAAGAATAATTATAAAAAATAACACTAAATTGCAACGTTTGTTGATCTTTAATAAATTGTGACTTGTTTAGCCTATTGGCACAGGAGGATATGAAGGTTGGTCTTTTATTGCTTTATAGGAACGGCATTGTACCCAACAGTTACGTAAAGTATCAGCTACTAATAAAGGATTATAGAATGAATTGTATACTACATAACGCGTAATTCAGGAGCTTTTGCCAACCAAGTGACCAAATGTAATTAAGTTGGCAGTCTAAGCCTTTATGAACTCTGACATACTGTATCTTGACCTGCAGCCTCAGAAATCTCTTCAGCTTTAATATACCTTTGATCGCAGCTGTTGTTTTTGCTTGTTCCTCTGCTCGCTGACACTCATCACCTGAAAAATGAGTGAGTGGAAATCTTCATACAGACATAGTGGCTTATTTACTAAAGGAGTAGTGCATGTTCACTTTGTAGTGTGCATCTCCACTTAGCTTAGTGAATGAGGTAAAGCTGTTCTGACTTCTACCATCCAATCATGTGCGAGTGAAAATCATAATTTGTTTTATTTTCTTTGTATGTGATTGGGTATTATTTGCAAAATGAATTTTCACCTCATTCACTAAGATAAGTAATAATTAACTTTGCAAAGTACCCATTAAAAGTGGAGACGTTTGAACTATTCCACACAAAAAGATTCTGCTGAAGTTTGGCTTGAAATGATTTGTATTTCTTCCAGGAAGCACTGAGTAATATGGATGATTATGACAAGACCTGCTTAGAATCAGCTCTTCAAGGAGTGTCCAGTGTGGTCCAACAGGAATGGGGTACAATTGTTCCTTGCCAGGTAAATAACTGTCAGATTTCACCATGACATAATAAGCTTATGTTCACTTTCTTCATTTCTAAAGCTGGCCATACGCTGTACAAATTTCGAATGGTTTATCAAGAAATTTGTTTAGCGGGTGTTGCCACCCTTCCGCCCGGTATCCTTTAGTAAAAAAATTGAAGGAGCCAGTGAAAAAGATTTTGGCCGAACACAGTGATGGCTTGAATTTCAGCCAAGTCAGCAGGACAGAAAATTCAAGCTGTTTATGACCTGCTTTAAATAGTGGCTGGCGGGAGGGTGGGAACTCCTGGGATCATGTGTTACATGTGCCTCTGTTTTTTTTTTCCTTTTTAGAGAATTCTCTTTAAAAACTATAGTACTGAACTTCAATGCATGGATGTGAACCAGGCACTTAGAAAAGGATTAATAATTAATATGCGTTTTCATGCAGTAGAATGTGTGTGCATTGATGTGTTTTCTTGTAAAAAGCAGACAATTGTGAATATTCTCTATTGTCGAGATATTATATTATGAATGCACGTGTCATGGCTTGATATGGTAAAAACGGTCTTTCTTTGGATAGGTTGTGCTGGTTACGGATGGATGTCTGGGCATAGGAAAAGGATCTCTGCAACATTCTCTGTCAACCCTGAACCAACGCAGTGAAAGTAACCGCTTTTCACTACCATTTCCTTTCCCTTCCAAACTGTACATCATGTGCATGGCAAACCTAGAGGAGGTGAGCATAGGATGGAGTATATGTAACACTGCTCATTGCCTACATTGATAAAAGCATTTGCATATCTTCAGTGAATTATTTCAGGGCCAGCTAGAACCTTGGCATCGTATACTGTGTTTTATGCAGATTAGACAGTTTTAAAGTAGTAGCAGGTGATTGCAGTCACAATAGATCATATAGTGTAACATATTTTCCTTGTAGTGGAAGTTTAGAAACCTATACTGTAGCTGTAAAATTGCATCACACTTCATGCTAAAAAGCTTAAAGTAGTATTATAGTCACATTTGTCTTTACATAGATCTACTGCTAGCAAGCAGTAGATATATGCAAAAACATAAAAAAATAAGTTTTACAAAATAGGTACTTGCCTGTGTCTCGACCGCTTGCTCCAATCTGAAGATTCTCGAGCTGCCGTGTCTAGGATGATGGGGCGGGCGCATGCGCAGTAAAGATCTTCGACGGGTAGAAGAGGAGAGACGCAGTGTAAGTGAATGTATGCAGCCCGGAGCGTGCATGTCGGGCAGACACCGTGGGACACAGAAGTCACAGCACTCAGCACTGGATCAGAGACCGGCACCAGCGCTAGAGGGACTCCTGAAAGCTACTGGAAAGAGGAAGATGATCGGATCAAGAGGCGTCATTTAAGGTAAGTCCTTAAAGCAGTGGGGGGGGGGGGGGATTTGTGACTCTTATGTCACTTTAAAGTTGAACTCCATGATGAAGCAAACTTTTCTTTAATAGCTCTGTCTCCCCTTTCACAGTTGAAACATCATCAAACTCTTTAAATTATTTTGTTAATTATGCTGCAGTCGTACATATCATTGCTCATGACATCACAGCTGTACAACCGAGATGTCTATTGATTCCGTGAATCCAAGAAGTCCAGTGCATTCCATACAGCAGTCAGACCCAATCATAAAAAAGACTTATGGCGAAATGGCGGATGTTGCTGCCATCCTTTTTGGATGAGACAGTATTGTGCCTTCTGCTTGAGGAAGAAGTTCCTAGTGGCCTTGAAACCTCACTTTCTGTTGGAGACAATAATGCGCATTGTCTTCTCATCTGAACATGGTGTACTGGTGATATCTTGACTTGGAACTGCCATTGTGACCAGATACCGCAAAGCGGATCCACAGCGGCGCTGAATGTCACATTGGGAACACATTGAAATTCCTTGGGAATGTAGTGATGCTTTTAGGCAGATCTGTGGGTGGTGACAAGTGCATCAATGCCCGTGGGTGAGTCACAACCAGATGCTCTCCTAATAGGAACTGTCCATTTAAAACCACTTGATACAAAGACATCAGTACTCCCTTAACGGAACTACTAAGAGAGGAAAACTCAGCCAGTTGCTATTCTCTATGGGTAGAGACCAACAGCGGCAGGTCAGGCAAAACGGAAAGAGTTCTGCACAGGTTGCATCTTGTTTCTAGCACAACATTACAGGCAAAGCTACACATTAAAACAAACTAACTTATCTGGCTAAGGTAAGGCTGTCGCTTTCATTGTGTTGCATTTTTTTTTTTCCTGACTGGTGTTCAGCTTTAATGTGGAAATATGTGCAAAACTGCAAATTACATATGCTTCAGTCTGTCACTGGCGTTCTCGCAGCATTATTTGGTTCCCCCCTGTAATACATGTGTATTACCAGCATATCCTAAAAGTGGATCCATTGATTTTTCCACTTCCTGGTGACAATGCTGTTTGCACTGCAGTGAAATCCTACAGTTGCATTGTCACCCTGTGCACAGGGTACTTGGTTCGTTTTAAATGGATTTTTAATAAGCCACAAGCAAATTTAACCCAATCTCTGGCAAACAAATTGTAAGCAGTTACGGCACCATTTCTATTCTTTTTTATGGAGAAGAAAAGTTTTAAACCATGTGAATAAAGGCTGGAGCTGTTAAGCACCCCTGTCAGCGTTATAGTTTGTCCCAAACCCAAACTCACTTTTCCTGGGTAGTTTAGTTTGCTTGCAAATGTTGATACAATTATAAACAAAGGCATGTGAAATAAGAAAGTAAGTTTTATCCAGAATACTATTATTACAGGTATTAACCCCATACATTTACCGGAATACAATTTTTGGTTCCCTTTAGTAGTCCTTTAAATGAACTGAGCATTTGTTTAAAGGCGAACTATGAGGTCAGTGAAAATCACTCAGCCTCATAGTTCTAGGCAACCTGTGACAATGAAACTGTCACATGTCGGCTCAATAGATCGGGAATGAGCGAACACATACAGTCGCTCGCTCACTTCTCGATCATTCCCTGCAGAGAGCCGTGACTGTCACAGCTCCCTGCAGGGATTCCCCCTCCGATCCTCCAGCCGGACGTTGGAGGGGGAGGGCACAGCTGGCTCTGCCTCTAGATAGGCAGAGATAGCTGTCAATCACGCAGCTGGGTGGATCTCCACAGTAATGTCGGGATCCATCCCGGCTGCGGCGTCTCAGTATGCTCGCGGTATACTGAGCCCAGGGTGATGGAAGGACGTTAGTTTGAGTCCTCCCGTTACCCTTAGGAGAACTATGGGGAAAAGCCCTGACCCCCATAGTTCTCCTTTTAAGTTTGTTTGAGATTTAGGAACACCACTTTCCCTCTTGGCAATAAGACGATTGAAATACTAAATTGGAGCTTCATATTTTCTCTCCCATTCATTGAAGGACACAGGGAACAGATCGGAGATCATGTACTGTAGGGTAATATCGCCACCTGCAGGAGAAGGACGCTAGGCACAAAAAAACTAAAGACCAATTACAGCCTAGGGGCGGCCCCTGCCGGTGGCCAAACCCCCCACCTACTGAGAAGTCTCCAGTTTTTTGCCTAGCGTCAGGAGTAAGGAGCTAAGAATTTTCCTCGGTATTCTTACCTGCTTCTTCCTGATTTTTTTCAGAGGATTCTTCTAGCAAGTGTTGTCCGGGCGACAGGCTGGACTTGTATTTGTATAATGCCAAATATTATACAGAATGCTACAGCCTAAAACTGAACCAATTACATTTTATCCGGCTGTAGGGTGTAGTGTTCAAATATATGTATTTATATGCGTTGTGAAAATCCAGGCAACCTCAATTCTTTTCCAGAGAGTAGCGTTTAATTGGATCGAAGAATGCAATACATGAGAATACACCCTAAATATACCCCTAATATATTTACTTCAATCATAATTTACAACATAGGGGATTTCTTATTTGATGTATTCATTTATATAGAACTGACAAAAGTGTAGAGCTTTATGGAGAATGTAGACCAGTGAAACAACCCCCACCCCTCACTAAGAAGATTACAGGTTAATATCCATACCACAGTTTTACCCACGGACGTACAAGTTCCAATCTGGCTACAAGTCAATTAACTTCCTGCTGAAGACAAGTATATTAATGATAAAGTAGACAACTCCTAAGGTGATTTGCCTTCAAGCTGAACTCCGGCCTAACCTTCAGTCTTGCACAGTTGCACCGGCTCCTCTCCTGCACTGAAAATGCTTACACTGATTTTACTGCACACAGTCAGCTTTTGCATTAGAAGCTGCAGCAAGTCAGATAGCGCCCATCTCATTTCCTGGCTGCGGGACATCCAGCATCATCTAGTCTTTCCTCCCAATCCTTACTGTACATCCTGTGGGTGTCACTAAGGGCATTGTACATGAACATGCAGTCTGCCTAGCAACGCCCACTTCTCCAGAATGACAACCACCCATCAAGGCATTTTGATATTTGCATATCTCCTCCCAAGGGCCAGCCCAGCGCTTGCAGCAGGACTGAGTGCACCTGAGAAGAGTACTGAGGCAGGGGTGCTGTGATGTTTTCAAAAAGCTATGTAAGGCACCCTACCGGCTCCTCCCACCAGCCATGATCTGCCTGCATTGCATAGAGAAGCCCAAAGACCCTTTTAATTACATCATTAAGTCTAAAATAGGGTATGTAATAAAAACAGGATTTATTTCAAAATATTATCGTGCTGATGAGGGAGGAATCAGGGAAGGCAAAATATTAGATTCAATTTTAACTTTAATGTATGCATGTAAATCTGTCTACTTTTACAATGCATTATGCAATTTGTGGGTGTCTGCAATGGGAACCGATAAATTAAAATGTTAGATTTAACGGATTGACAAAACTGTTCACTCATTTCTGGTGTCTTTCTGGATTGTGGAAGAAAATTGGAGTAGTCAGAAGAAACTCAAAGAAAAACACAAACTTCCTAAAGTAGTATTCTCCTTGGAAATTGGATCCAGGACTTTAGTGTTGCCAAAGCAAGAGTGACAATCACATAGCCACCATGCGTATAATTTTGTCACAGTCACATTGGCAGACACTAGCATTACTTTGCCCAAAAAACAATTATTTTACCAATTAAAATATTTTGAGTTGCAGGACCAAAGAAAAAACTGCCAAGCATGGCCAAAACATTCAAACTCCATGCAGATAGAGAACAATACCATAGTGGGAATTGAAAGAAAGACCCTAGTGCTGCAAAGCAACTACCCTGCTGTCCAAATGCTTTATAAACCAGCATTACTTTGAAATAACTGAACACCCTTAAATATACTCTTAGAATCATTGACCTATTTGTGTAAAGTGTTTATAAACTTTACTACTTGTAACTCTTAATGACTTTTCAAAAAATGTTTTTCGGATAAAGGGAGAGTTAGGAGACCGTCGCGTATATATTGCTATCCAGAGCTCTGTAAGAGAGATTTCCCCTCACTTCCTATCCTTGTCACTGGGGATGCACAAATACCCGCATTTCGGTATCGAGTACCGATATTTTTTTTTCAGTACTTACCGATACCGGAAGTCCCATTAAGGAAGCCAGGCGGCATGTAATGACTCGTCACCTGGCTTTCTGATTAGCCGTGAAGCCGGGCGGCATGTAAAGACTCGCCACCCGGCTTCCCGATTAGCAGGGAAGCCGTCCCCGCGCTTCTTGTCACTAGGTGACGAGAAAGCATGGAGCCGGCTTTCTGGCCAGTCAGGAAGCCGGGTAGCGTGTATTTGGGCGTACGAGTACTCGCCCAAATACTCGGCACCGATACCAGTATCGGTATTGGTGCATCCCTTCTTGTCACAATGGTTTCACAAGTAAGGAAAAATCTCCAAATGGAGCTCTGGAAAGCAGTTAACCCTGGCAGGGGTTCAGCCCTTCCCCACTCTATCCAAAGCCAAAGAAAAAAGTTTTGGGTGGACATACGCTTTTTATGGGTATATGATGATATGTTCATTGCATTTTTTGTATTTCCTTTCATCCCCAGTTGCAGAGCTCTGATTCCTTGGATGCTCTAGAAAAGCTTATTGACCTCAATAATGGGGAGGGTCAGATCTTTACCATTGATGGGCCCCTGTGCTTAAAGAATGTCCAGTCTATGTTCGGGTAAGTGAGCCTGGCTGCCATGTGTGGAATCTGTCTACCGTATATACTCGAGTATAAGCCGAGTTTTTCAGCCCATTTTTTGTGCTGAAAAATGCCCCCCTCGGCTTATACTCGAGTCAGCGTCTCGATCTGGTCAGGTTTCTTTTTACTTACTTCGCCGAGCGTCGCGTCACTGCTGCTCCGGTGGGTGGCGCTCCGAGCGGGGTCATCTGGCAGTCTCCGGATTTATACTAGAGTATATACGGTTATACAGTTAATTTGCTGTCGGTATTGCCTGGCTTTTGTTGGAGATTATTTGTCATGTGAGAGGATTATAGTGAGCGTATAGCTGGTGCTGGGTTTACAGCTTTAGATTTCTCTTCCTAAATTATGTTTTGTTCAATCAGCTTAAAACGACATTTTTCTCCTACAGAAAACTTATCGATGTGGCGTACACTCCGTTCCATGCAGTGCTAAAGTGTGGGAATCTGTCTTCCGATGTCCAAGTCTTTCCTAGACCTGAATCGGTTATCATTGATGAAGAGATTGATCCACTTCCTAAATCTATAAGCACAGGTAGATCCATATAGAAGTACTCATAATGG